ACGAGGAGGAATTTCCTGCTGGAAAGGGTGGTGAGGCCTTGGCAGGGGCTGCCCAGGGAGGTTTGGAGTGCCCAGCCCTGGAGGTGTCCCAGGAACGGCCTCCAGCTGTGCCAGGGGAGGCTCAGGTGGGATATTGGGACAATTCCTGCATTGAAAGGGCTGTCCAGCCCTGGCACAGCTGCCCAGGGAGGTGGTGGAGCCCCATCCCTGGCGGGATTTAAAAGCCCTGTGGATGTGGCACTTGGGGACATGGCTCAGTGTGGATCAGCCTGGGCAGTGCTGGGGGATCGGCTTGACCTGATGATCTTAAAAGCCCTTCCCAACCTCAAGGATTCTGCAAATCTGTGAGCATGCAGCTAGGTCAGATTCTGACCAAAAAATTAGTCCCCGCCCTTTTACATTTACCCCCAAAAATGAAGCAGGAGCTCCCTTCCCATCAGCACTTTGCTGCTCACAGCACAGAGGGTGCACGAGCCTCTGAGAACACTCAATTTAACTAATTCTCCAGTTTCTCAAGCATAAAGCAAAAGCTGCTCACAGAGATGTTGGCAAAGGCTGTTCCAACCATGAAGTAGAAGAGCCTGGGCTGGACCTCCAGGATGTCAGAGGGGGACAGGAAGATCCACGTGGTGCAGAGCAGGAACAGCAGCACCGGGGACACGAGGGGCAGCAGGATCTCATACACAGAGTGGTGCTTCAAGGTGTTGCTTTTATAGGCCCTGGAACACAAGGAAAGAAACAAAAATACATGGAATCAATGGGAGATCCCTGGTTGTGCCCCCAGGAAATACCTGAGGGGGCTCCAGGAGAGCTGGAGAGGGACTGGGGACAAGGCATGGAGGGACAGGACACAGGGAATGGCTTCCCACTGCCAGAGGGCAGGGAGAGTTTGGAGATTGGGAAGGGATTCCTGGCTGGGAGGGTGGGGAGGCCCTGGCACAGGTTGGCCAGAGAAGCTGTGGCTGCCCCTGGATCCTTGGAAGTGTCCCAGGCCAGGCTGGACGGGGCTTGGAGCAACCTGGGCTGGTGGAAAGTGTCCCTGCCCATGGCAAGGGGTGAGACTGGATTCATTTAATGTCCCTTCCCACCCAAACCACCCCGGGATCCCAAAAACTCACTTGTAGAAGTTGTACAGGCTCATGGGCAGCGTCACAGTGAGAGCACAGGCTGGAAGAGAACAGAGCCACATCAGGGCCCTGGCAGAGGGTCCCTCACGTGCCCCCTGCATGTGCAGCTGCCTGGGCCCTGCTTCGAGGGTCCCTCATGTGCCCCCTGCATGTGCAGCTGCCCAGGCCCTGCTTTGAGGGTCCCTCATGTGCCCCCTGTTTGTGCAGCTGCCCAGGCCCTGCTTTGAGGGCCTTGCAACAAAATACAGCCCCGAGGGCGCCCCAGGAGCCGCTCAGCACGTTCAGAAGTAGGTGCTCCTACCTCTGCTCCAAGGGCTGTAATTAAAACTGAGGTCTGCTATAAATTAAAGACATTTCCATTTGAAAGAGCTGCATTAATGAGCCCGGTATTGTGCTTTAGACGGGGGAGAAAGTTTAATTATAACACAGTTCTAATGGGACGTGAGGCGAGTGCAAACGCCACGAGTGACGTGCTCCAGTCTTCATAACAAAGGCAGTTTGCAGCTTCTCCAGCTGTGTGCAAACACTTCCAGTGCCCACAGTGCCAAAAAAGTTGTCATTATAACTTGAAAA